ATTCCCCTGGAGGAGCTGGAGGAAGTGTCTGGAGAGAGGGAAGTCTGGGCATCTTTGCTTAGACTGCTGCCCCAGCGACCCGGTCCCGGATAAGCGGAGGAAGATGGATGGATGGATGGCATTCTGAAAAGTTCTCTTGTCCTTGGTGGTCTTTCCTTTTCACTGACATAATTTGAGCAGTCAAAATTCACAATCATTCTGAAGCACAAATGAGCATTTGGATATTATACATTTAGCCCACTCTTTACTTAAAAACTGAAATGTGACTGATACATATACTGTACAGTTATTGCACATGTATTCTGTCAGACTTTAAAAGACCCCTTTGTTTGAACCTTCATTTCCATTTTACTCACTTGTGGGACTTCTTGCCTTCTGTACCACCGGGACCTGAACCGCAGTCATGAGCCTGGATGATGAAGGTGTATTCTTTCTGCAACTCACAGTCCACCAGGCCGCGGGCCCTCAGCTGGCCCTCACCAGATGTGCCGTTAAGAACCACTGCCTCGAATGGAGCCTCCAGCCCGTGAATGTTGAATGCACAGATCTCCCCTAGAGACCAGGTACAAAGGAGATAGAGGAGAGGAAGAAAGAGGAAGTCAGTTGCATCCCATCCAGGTGGAAAATGAATGTGCGTATGTAAATTAAGTTAAGTATATGACAGAAAGACACATTTGTGTTTTTTTTTTAAGTCTGCAGCTTTATTGGGTTAACTACTGTAATAGAACTCAAACACAAAAAGCAGATTACATGGAGACAATGTAGTATTGCACTGATTTAGGGATATTGGAAAGGGACAAACAACTGGCTGCTAGAGTCTTTCAGTTCAGCAAACTTTCCTTTTTAATGTACATTTTGTGTTGCATTTTTAATGTCATGCTACAGTATGTATTGTTATTTTGCTTAGTGTTAGGTTTTATCTGTTATTGTACACATTTTTTTGTTTTAAATTCTTTTCCTCCTCATTTCTTTTCTTCTTCCCAAAGGTTAATGTAATGCCACATGATTTCTGGCATTAATAGGCTTTCACTGGGTTTTGCTCCTGTTCATTCACCTCGGGTAATTCCCACTTAAGAGTTATAAAACAATTTACAAACAAAGACAGAGGCCGAGCACAGCAACAACTCACACCGGGTCTGTTTTTCCAGACAGATCAAGCTCACTTTCTATTCAATGCACCTTCCTACTTGCTTTTTATTTGCTGTTGTGAAAAACTCCAAGAACATTGCTATCCTCAACATATAAAGATTCTGTGTAGCTCACCAAAAGAAAAAAAAACATACATACAGACTTACATGAGGGCCAAATAAAACTATGACATCTTAAAGTCACTCTCCTGGAGAGATATGGAGGAGCAAAATCCTTTTAAATAAAAAGTGAGTGGCTGACAAGACAAGAGCCAAGAGACAGCTGACATTTTTAAAAGGCTATATAAAGAAGACCATTTGTAGAGTTGGCAAGAGAAGGTTTTTTTTTTCTTGTAAAGATGTTGTCCTCGTGCGCATCTACTAGTGGGATTTCAGGAAATCACTTAACGTGCCGGGCACACACTCTGACCTGTGACGGCTAATTGCACTGATAGCACTTAAACTAACAGCAAAGACTAAATTGGATTCCCGAGAAGCTTTGTACGTGCGTTGCTCCTGGCAAGTTCTGATAAGAGCAACTTTATTTTCTACTGCCTTCCCCTTTCTCTCTACTTTCATCCTGTTTCTGTCATAATCCCCTCCGCCCCTTTTGCCCTCCCTTCCTGTTGGGGCAGGGGCTCTGAAATGACAACTGGCCCACAGAGGAGCTCTAGGCAAAATGATAATGAAAGAGAAGGTGGAGAGAAATGAGAGAATAGGAAGGATGGTGTCGACAATGCCTGCATGCTATAAAGACTTTACCCTTTGTATTGCCCGAGCAATGACTTATTGGAGTTAAATGGGGCCCCACAATATAGACAAACATGGTTTGCTGGGGAGAGCAAAATCATAAAATGCCATTGAGCAAACGGTGTGCAATGGAGAGCGACAGAAGATGCAACAGTCTCGATGTGCACCAAAGTACAAAATAGGCAAATGGAAAATCCATCACTGCTGGAGCGAGAAATAAATCCAATATACACAGGCAGGTGCAAAAGCTTCTCATCAGGGTGAATATGCTGAGGATATGCTGATGACACATGCCCACCACTGAGGCTGGATGGCCCAAAATACTCCTCAAGATTTAATTGTAGCTGATGGGGGAGCTGGGAGAGAGGGTCAAAATGACCGCAGGAGGAGGATCTCTCTTTTAAGAATCAAATGAACACTGTAGCCGTTTTCTTTTTCCCCTTTTTGCCCACCTATCGCTTCACTCCAGACCTTATAAGTGTCCTGCCTCCCATGGAGGGGAAAAGATGGCTGGTGGAGGAGGGAGGGACGATGGAGGAGCTGGGCCCAGTGGCAGCAGAGGAACAGATGCTAGGTGGCTGGCACTTGGCAGAGGCACAGAGCTCACAAACGCTAATTACTGCGCTAAACTGATAGCTAAATATGTGTCTCCGCATCATATTGGGCTTTGAAGAGGAAGATTTATGGCCAGAACAAATGCTGTCTCCTTGAAGGAGGACCATTACAACTAATGAAGGCAAACAAAGGATATGGGTGCGGCAGTGCTATTTCTTTATTGCTTTGTTTGCTGGTTATCATCACTGTTTGACTATTTGGCATAATTATACATCTTTATGGTCTTCAATACTCCATGTTGAATGTCAAAAATACCTTTTTGCATATGCACACACTCACCTGCAGAATAAAACTTTGCTACTAACTTACCTGACTTTTCTGACTCCCTCCATTTGTCTCATTCTTCCCACTACCTTATGCTCTGCCGAAGTGATTACTAACTTTCCCCTTGGGCATCATTTCATTTTCATTTTATTAGTTCTAAATTAATGACTCTCTATTTGTCAGTGATAATGTGTACTCAGGACCTTAGCTGTTGTCCTGTTGGTTTCAGAAGTCAGTCATGCAGTGCTCAACACCTCAAGGGAAACTTTAAGGACACAGAGCTCATTATCAGAAAAGGCAGAGCCTCTTCACTGGCAATGGTAGCCTATAGGGGTGTGACAAAGTACTGGGGGCCACAGCGCCTCAGGGCTCCAAGTTACTATCAAAGCTGGCAGAGAATTGCTGATGAGCTGCCCCTATCCAAATACACATACAGGTTGTATTTGCTGAAAAGGTGTTCTCACATAGAAGTGCATAGATATGTGGGGCAGCTGTTTACAGAGCATTTGAGTGAGAAATAAAAGTGAAGATATCAGAAGGGAAACAGTCACATTGCTGAGAGGAAGAGGAAGATATTAAGGGAGATGAAAGAGGAGCTGAGAATGATGGGAACTTGGCCACTGCCTTAGGACAGCTCCAATCTCCCTACTGGAGAGTGACCAAAGCAAGAGCATGAATACACAAATACACACACATCTACTCGAACTGTGCCAGTTCAGCAGCTCTAATCAGAGCCGACATGCCTTTCATCCTCCTACTGTTGGAAGACACACCAGATAGACAGCTAGTAAATCAGATTACCAGATAACACACTGTTACTGAGCACATTTTGGACCAGGCATCAGTTTGATGGCACCAAAATGTTTGCACTCACATTATCCTAATATTTTCACTTGCTATTATCAGTTAATCAGCACTGTCTGAACAACAGTTGTTGTCAAGGATGAGGTTTACACAGTTGTTGTGATTTAGCTGCTTTTCCAGTTTGGATTTGGCAGAAAAATCTCTTTTGTATTAGTCACTCACATCACCATAATCGTACATCCACATACACTCTGGGACACACAATCACTCACTCACACACACCCAAGTCCTCTCAGCTGCTGTGCAGAGATACACCGTCAGCCTCATAACTCTGCAGACGGCTGAAATTGAAAATGCTGTAATTATGCTCTTCATGAAATTAGCCAGCCGAGGAAAAAACACAATTGAGAAGCTGTCCATTTAGGAGATAACGATTAATACTAATCAAGCCTGCATGTTCTGACTTGAGTGCGTGAAACCTGGACTGGTATTTGTGTACAGTGTGTGCACATGTGTGCAAGTGTGTGCCAGTTGGGGGATTTTTAATTAAAGGCACACTTTCTCAATAGGGGTTGTGTTTATGTGTATGACTGTTGTGGAGGGGTTGTGAGATGATTTACTCGACCTCGCTGTTACTGCCTCCCCACCCTTCTCTTGTCTCCTCTCTGTTAATTACATTAAAGTCCCCTCTCGCAGAGTTAATGACATCCCACTGTCTTGTAACAGAGTGAACATGCACCCACTGTGTGTGTTTGTGTGTGTGTGTGTATATGAGACAGAGAGGTGTCAGAGTGAAGGGTGGAAGACTGAACCTGTCAATCAAATTTCCATGTCAAGGTAGCAGTGACACTGCTGGAAATTCCAAGGCCTGAAAGAGTAAATATCTACAAACACTGGCTTGTCCTGGATCTCCAAAGCAGGGTCTGGGTTTCATAAATCATTCAAGGTTTGGTTTGGGTTTATTCTGCCATGAACAGACTTGCACATAATACACGTTTTCACATTTTCACCAAGAAACCAAACAAATAGGCAAAACCAAACAGATTCAAACAAATGTAAAATGTGGATATGCAGGAACATAAAATGAACATCACAAAACAGTAAAAATCATAAAAACTAAATGTTATACATAAAACTCAAAACATGGCAGAAGATAAAAAGTGTAGAAATTAAGGTTTTCGCTGCCCTGGCCTGTCCTAAATGATGTCGCCAACAGACTGCCATGACCCTGCTTTACAATGGACAGCTTTACAGTTGTTACAACGAGCTACCAATCTTATATTTATTATGTGCATGTGTTACACTGTGTGACAGGTTTTACAAATGTAATTAAGGCCAGATGCTGTAGATTCTCAGAAAGGTCATATACTGTAAAATGTTAAACTAATTGCATGTTTTAATCTTGTGATAAACATTAACTTGTGTTTTTGCTTAAAGGAGTGCTCCAGTGTTTTAGTATTGCACTTTCATGAAGTTGGAGTAAAGAGACATAAAACAAACAAAAGAACTGTCATAACTGATGCAGAGGAGGCTGTGATAGTCTTCCTCATTTTTCATCTTCTGATAACAGCGCTGGTGAGGGAGATGTAGGTGGAGGCCAACAATCCTCTAAAATAGTGGCTCCCAACCGTGTCTGCTTCTAAGCCCTTATTCACTTAAAATCCTAAAGACGAGTCCAAAATATAAACATAATTAGAAGTGTTGGAGTTTAGTTTGACTTGTTTCCAAGCGTACTTAAGTAACTGTGGCTGAGAGTAACACCAAGGACAGCAGCTTTAAGGGCAAATCACCATGCCCATAGCTTTCAGTGCTCTCTCTCCTTCCTCTCAGATGAGTGGACAGCAGCAATTCAGCTCCTGAAAACATCAATGCTATTTTGTCTTAGAAGCTGCAAAGGTCTGTTAGCTCCCCCCCCACACACACACACACACACCTCAACAGGCGATGTGTCAATTACTTCAGCCTTGAAATGGAACAGAGCCAAAGTACTGC